GAATTTGTTCATTATATTCAGAAATTAATTATCTTATTTATAGAAATGTAATTCGTCTTCTAGAAATGAAGGTACGTGATATTGAGCAAGCAATGTTGCTAAAAGATGTTCAATATTTACAAATAATTGAAACACTGAAGGAGGAAATTCGTATTCTAGAAAGTATTTACTTTTTATATTTTAACATTATTTATTTTGTTTTGTAGGTCGACTTTCTTTGGCAAGTTCTCAAACAAATTTGGCATATTTAAGAAATATTTTTGTTCAATTTCTGAATCAAAATTCAGCCAATGGTCGTAAGCACATACTCAAAGCAATTGGTTTGTTTATTTTAAATTATTTTTTCAAAAAATTAATTAAACTTTTAAAGGAGCTGTTTTACAATTAACTCCTATTGAAATGGGGCGTGTTGATCGTTGGTCACACTAGAGATTTGTGGGAAAAATATTTTTAGAATTTTGATAGCATATCAGTTATCTGTGATTATTTTTTGATTTTAATTATTCTTTATTTCACTTCAGTAATTCAATAATCAATTCTTATAGTAATTTTTAAATATTTTAATGTAGATCCCATTTTATAATTTTTATTAATTTAAATAAATTTTTATTTTATTTTTAAATTTTTATTCGTTTTTACGTTTTTATATTTCTTTTAATATTTCTATATTAAACGTTTAATTTAGAGAAATTTACCATTACTAAATTAATGAGCGCAGCAGCAACACAACGTCTTCAGGCCAAGCGGCAGACTTTAGATGAGGCTTATGCACCTCCAGCAAATTTTCTCGAGATTGAAGTTGTAAATCCTGTATGTTTTATTTAATGATATGAAAATTGATTTTATATTTGTTTAAGTATTCCAAAAGTTAAGATTAAATCAAAAATCTAAATTTGTATTTAAAGATAACCCATGGAGTTGGTAAGAATCGCTACACCGACTACGAAGTTCGTTTACGCACTAATTTACCTGTTTTCAAACATAAGGTATCTTTTAAATTAATTTATTATTTTGAGATAAATGTATCGAGTTTTCTAATATATTTTAAAGGAATCGAGTGTTAGGCGCCGTTATTCCGATTTTGAATGGTTGAGGAATGAACTTGAACGTGATAGCAAGGTTACTGAATTTACTATAATACATCTTTATATTTTTTTATTTTTTTCAGATTATTGTTCCTCTTTTGCCAGGTAAAGCGTTAAAGCGTCAACTGCCATTTCGCAGTGATGATGGAATCTTCGAGGAGACTTTCATTGAAGAACGACGCAAAGGACTTGAGCAATTCTTAAACAAAGTAGCAGGGTATTTTGTAAAATATTTTAAATTTTAAATGAAATATTTAATAGTCATCCATTGGCGCAAAATGAAAAATCTTTACATATTTTTCTTCAAATGGCTGAACTTGACAAGTAAGTTTTTTAGACATTTATTTTTGAATAGTTTAATTTTAGGAATTACATTCCGGGTCGGATTCGCACTGCTTGACAAACCTAAATATTTAAGAAGGAGAGAGAAGCTTTTGTTTGAAATATAATAAATTCACTATATCAGCAAGTTTTATGACCAGTATAATTCCCCACACAAATACTATACTAAATTTAATTCCACCAGATTGCGACTTACTATTTTTGTGCAAATTTTGCACTAATCTACATAATTTGTATATTTATATATTAAATAAATAATATAAACAAGTCTTCCTAGATACTTTTGATTAAAACAATTCTTTCATTTTCTATTAAGGAGAGAAAAATAATAATTATATTATTCAAATATTTAAAAGTAAAATAGTAGTAATTAATGAGAAAAATGATATAAAAATTTTATCAAATCTATTTAAGAATTTTCTTTCGTATTCTCCTGATGTTGCCATTGCCCAATTTCCGTTAATACGGTTAGGGATATCAGTTCTTCCCCGTAGATGTAAAGGTGGTGGTTGTTGTCTCTCAACTTCTTCCCAATTATGTGGAATTGTAGTAGGGGCTAAAGAAAATATTCTTTTGATTTAATTAAATTTAGACCTTGCGGCCTTTCAAATCCTATAGGTGAATTACGTGGTGACATTTTATCTAAAAATGCTCCAATCCTGTTTCGGTCTATGCCGTTTTCCCCGTCATCAACAGAACCACTGTTAACTATTGATGCCACGGTTGGAATGTTGATTCCATCAAGATGGTGTGGGGGTAACTGAAAGTTTTCACTAACATTTCTAGACTTTTAATTTATTCAACCAATGGTTGTTGAAGTGCGCCTTCTATATAATCGGAGCCAAAATTTATTCCCTGAAGTTGGGGATGTTGTCGCACCAAAAATGTGTTTGGGCTGGACAAGAATAACTAAACATGTAGAAATTAAAAATACCTGTGCAGGTAGTGTGGTTCACTATTTGCATATCCACCATATTTATGGGGGAAATGGGGAGGTGGCAATGCTATTGGATCAGCTTGGATATATTTGCATGTGAATATTATAATAATTATAAATTTCATTTCAAATAAAATGGTATTTAATTTTAAGAAAATGTACAATAAAAAGAACTAACTTTAAAGAATTGCTTTTAAATATTAAAATTTTCTTAGAAAAATTTTACAAATTTTTACTCTCCAAAAACAATTCACACTCGAATGAAACTTTAAGGTGGCAAATTTTACATGTTTTTAAATTGCGCAGAAGAATATTTTTAGTTATTTTTTTTGCTTTACAATATTAAAAGAAAGTAAACAAGAGCACTTATTAAAATTGTTATTGTTAAATAATTCACTTTTATGTATTTTTGGCTTTTTTATTTTTAATTTTTGTTTTGATTATTAACAAATATTTTTGTAAATAAATAAACAAAAATTGTTGACACAATGCAAGAATGAAGCTTTTTAAAGAATCGCCACTTCTAGGTCCACAAATACTTATGTTTATTTATGTCTTTTTGTATTATTTAATTCCCAACATTAAAACGTAAAAAAAGTACAATTTATTCACATTTTTCCTAAAGTCGGGAGAAACACGAAAGAAGAAATGCTGTAATTAAATAAGGAAAAGAAAAGAGAGAAAAAGAGAAACTATGCATTTTGTAATCCATTCTGACTATAAAATTTGAACTGACACTTTTCTTATACTAACTTTAGGTTAATATAAGAGCTTTTGTTCTTTCGCAAACTTACTTGGCTGGAGCGCCCCTGTGATCAAGAAGACAGGGCGTTTGTGGAGAGACTTCCCCATTGCACTTAAGGGCGAGGTTGACCTGCAGGGCGGCTCCGAATTGGGGCGGGCCCACAGCTAAATTTTTGAGTGTGGGGGATGGCGTCCGCGCTTCCCCCTTAAATTTTAAAAAATTTTTAATTTTAAAAGCAACTAGAAATATTTTGCAGAAATATTTAAAAGTAAATCCTAAAAAGTTTTAGTCTGTAATATCAATTTGTGACTACAATTTTTTTAATTGAAAATTTCATGAAGTTTTTTTTTATTTTGACATTTCTTATTTCAATTTCTCATTTTTATAAAAGTTTTCCATTCAAAATATTATTCTAGTCTGGAAAGCAACACAAAGTAATTCTTCATTATTATTACGATTATTGACCAATCGTAAACGAAGCTCGTAAGGTGGCTAAAAAAGATATGAATATTGAAATAAAATTTAAAAAATAATCTAAAAACTTTATGATCACGAAGCATTAATCTCAACATTGCTAGAAAAACATGTGCTGGCTCCAATTGTAATTCGAGGACTTGGCGGCCTGGGAAAATTGGACAACCATCATTATCTTCACAAATATCAATTAAATCCCTACAAAATTTTAATTTAGTACAAAAATTATATTTTACAATGCTCCAAATGTTGGAATATTTATCCATCCACAACCTAACCAACCAACTTTTCTTCTTAATAAAGCTACTTCAGCTCTCATACTTTCAAAGCTTTTTAAGAAATATTTTAAACAAAATTTTTCTGTTTCAAAACCTTTGTGTAGCATAACTAGTTAAATCCATAAAAATCCGCAACATTGGAGTTATATCACTTAATTCTAATGGATATTCATAATGCCCACTTCGATTAGCTAAAGCTGTATCGTGCACAACAAAAATTGGAGGCCCATTTTCTGGATCAGAACAAGTAAAGGCGTAAGGGGCATTAAATGTCCCATTTGGATACATTGAACAATCCTCATTTGTTAAATCATTAAATTTTTGTTTTTCGTTATTTTCTTCCCCATTTAATGAAAATGTTGGAAAATCAGCAGAAATGTAGAAAAATCCAGCAGCATTCATTTTGTTATGAGGGTTATTGTGCCTTTTTGATTTTTGTTTATATTGATGGACTGGAATTCCGTTTAGAAGATATCTAGGAATTTTTAAAAATATTTACATTTCTTTTCAACATAAGCCACAATTTTATCAAAATCCAAACAAATCCCAAATATATTTTTCAAAATTACCTCTTTGTATCAAAATTATTTTGATTATTTTCTAGAGGTAATTGCCATCTTTCTTCTCTAAAAATTTCTTGATGACTTAAAAAACTTTTAATATTTTTATTTTTCTCCTCTTCCCATTCTCTTTTAATTCTCCAATAATTATTTTTAAATGAAAATATTGTTGGAATTAAAATAATAAAAATAAATAAATAATAATTAATCATTACTTAAAAATATAATTTTTAAATTAAGTATTTAGTATATTGCTTAAAAGTTCAATAAGAAAATCTATTAAAAAGAACTTTTTCTTTTTTTTAATTTTCGCTGTCTTTAAAAAACAAGTTATTTTAAATAAAGTTGCTCTTTTTTGTTTCTGGAACAATGAATATTTTTTGGCCGAAGAAATTTGACCTTTATATAAACTAGAAAGGGAGGGAAGGGAGGGATATATTTTTGTTAAAAATAATAATAAAAAATAATTAATTTTATAATTTATTTCTAAATAAATTAATTGAGAGAATAAAATTAGAAAATGAGCAAAGAAAAATAATTTTTAAATGTCTTTAATTTTGCCTTTTTAAATAAGTAAAATCAACCAATATCCATTTCTTCAAAATTATCATCTCTTCCTTCCTTTAAACAATTTTCTTTGCTTTGGATTGATGATTTTAAATCCTAAAATAAATTTTAAATTAATTAAAAATGTTTTAAAATTCTTTTAAAAATTTCAAATATGAAAGGCCAAAAATATTCTTAAGTAAAATTAGGAGGCAATACTTTATGGAAGCTGCCCCCTTTTTTCTCGTTTTATGGCAAATTATTCGAATTATCATTCGAAAGAGCCCTTCGATCTGACAATGAGTCGAATGACATTAAAATAACAAAAATTAACTTTAGTGAACAAAGTTATGACCGTTTATTTTAATGAAGAAGGCTTGTATGTTATTTACCCAAACATAACCAAAAACATTATAAAATATTAAGGAAATTAAAAAAATTTTTACGAAAAAAAACTTTTCTCAAATAATTTTCCTGGAAAGGACCCAACCAAAAAAATTAAATTTTACCAAAAAATTCTCTTCTACTTCTTCTCCCATTTCAACAATATTATTATTTTGTCCAATATTAATTTCTTCAATTTGTGGTTTTGATGAATTTTTGAATAAAAGAGAAGAAATAGAAGGTTGGACAAATAAAATTAATTCATTTCCAATAATTTTAGATTTTGGCCTGAAAATTTTTGTTAAAAATATATTTCGAACAAAAAAAACTTTGGTAAAAGAGCAAAATCCTTTTCATTTCCCTCATAAATAAATTGACGAAGTTTTTCGCTAAGAATAATTTTCTGATCTTCATCTTCATTTTCTAAATCATCGTCATCCTCTTCAGAATTGTAATTGTCTTCTTCAGAATTTATATATATGGAAATTAGAAAAATTTTAAAAATTATTTTAACAAAAAATAAACTCCCAAAATCTGTTAATTAACTAATTAAATTATAAATTTTTTCGGCACTCCTGCCGTTTAAGGGGGCCGCTGTTCTATAAAACCAATATAGGTATTTGATTCTCTCTTTTCTATCAATCCTTCTTTTCTCCCTACTAACATTGATTTTTTACATGTAGTAAAGAAGGTTCAGAATTAGGTGCCAAAAGTCTCATAATGGTCAGAGAACGGCGGCGTGCCAGATTTTCTACTACCAATTATTTTGATATATTAGATTTAAAACCCGTCCTAGTCTTATGATCCTAGTCTAAAAAACTCAAAAAACCTTTTTCTTCTGTTTCTTTCTTCAATTCCAAATTTTTTTCTTCGTTAGGTTCTTCAATAATAGGCAAAGAAGCTTCTTCATCAAGTAATTCAGAATCCCTTTTAAATATTTAAATAAAATATTTAATTAAAACCCCAAACCATTCAACAATTTCCACAATTTTTGGTTGACTAATTTGTTCCAAAGAAGCAGAAAATGTTGATTTACTTTTCCCTTTATTATTTTGTTTTTGTTGTCCAAAATCTTCAATTAAATGTATATTATCTAATTTTGCACTCATTTTATCTTCATAACGTTTTTGTTTTGGTTTAGGTCCATCACCCTCCCCCTCCTCCTCTTCATAATCAACAAAACAAAAATTTTCCATTTTATTCGAAATTCCTCCCGAAGATTTTCTTTTTGCTGCCCCAGGTAATGTAATTAATGGAGAAGTTGGTTGGGGGGAATGAATTTCTGGAATATTCCGACTAAAGTTTCCTTGAGTATTAAATTCTTGATTTTTATTTTTATTGTTGTTTGTACTCATATAAAAAATAAAATTTAGAAAAAATTGTGAGTTAAAGTTAAAATTAAAAATCCTTGACAAAAAGAAAAGATTTGTGTAAAATGTTAACGGCGTTTAAATGGGAACTCTAACAAATAAACGTACCTCAAAGAGAAAGAATATGAATCTGTACAGTTTGCCAAAACTAATTGTTCTAATAATTTTATTATTTTTTGTGTTTTAGTCCCGGACATTTTTGGACAGAGAAAATTGAAAGCGGGAATTTTCGATTTTTGGTTCCGTACCTGTTTTTCACAGTTAATTTCTGCAATTCCCGAAAATTTAAAATTTGGTTTAACACCTTTTCTTAATTAGGTATATTTTTGACTAATAATAATTAGTATTAGAGATCGAGAATCAAGTAACTCTGAAAAACGACTTGATCTTGATTCTGGATCCAAATCCAGCTCGATCTCTACATAGTACTATACTAAATTATTTTAGAAATGTACATATGTATTACTCGAATTATAAAACTACATTATGTATTACCTATTTATTTTTTATAACTTCCATTTTTTATTCCCGTCATTTTTACAAAAAACCACTTTATTATTATTTAGTACTAAAATATTTACTTATTAAATATTCATTCCTCCATGAAAATACTGCGACCACTAAAAAGTTTTTTTGCTTTTAACAATGAGTAGCCGGTCAGCTCATTTCATCTCCCATTTATTGGACATAATATAATTAAATAATATGCACAAACATTTATGTATTACACCAAACAAACAACCAAAATTAACAATACTCAACGCGTGACCAAAATTTTAAATGTTTTTTTGGCGACGGTCAAAAATAATTTTTAAATTTAAAAGTTTAATAAATAAACTTTATGCATTATTATCTAATGGATCAATCTAAAATATACGTTCAGTTTTCTCCAACAAACGCATTACTAACTTAACATAAATATTTATTTTGGAATTTTTAAATTTAGTTTAAAATCACTTTAATTTTCTTAATTCATTTGCCATTCAAAAGGTTATAGTAGTATTTTTTGTTAAATTGTATAGGTTAAGTCAATATATACAATGTGCTTAGTTTTGTGGCAGTGGTTTTGAAGAAGAAGAAGAAAAAAGCGTAGACGAACGATTTTCTTCCGGTCATTGGAAAAAAGCACATCACAGCAGTAAATCAATCCCCATACTTACCCTCCATATGTTCCCCACAATTTTTTAATGTTTGCTTTTTCGGTTTTTTGTTTGAGGTAGTATAGTAGTATGTATATCATGCCGTCCAAATTTTCGATTCCTGAAAATCAGGAATTTGTTTTTCTACCTTAAAAGCTTAATACCTTGTACCTTATTGAGTGTTACTAAAACTGTAATATAATTTTACTTATAGTTTATTGAAAATTTGAAGTAATGGAGATTTCAAAGCCAAGGATTACTTTAAGAAAACATTTACAAAATTTGTTTTCCAGACAAATTTTGTTTTCCATGCACATTTGAATGAAACATTAACAATTCTTCCATTAAGAATCCGATATAACGGCGTTATCCTTCCCATTTTTACACCCTTCCCTCATCTTATTCTTCTTCTTCCTCATTGCCGCCTGTTTTATCCCCTCATATTCACCAATGCGCGCATCCATCCATTTTCTATGTAGATTATATATATTTATTCCCCCTCTCCTTACTATTCCCTCCTCAAAACAATCTTCTTCTTTTTTTTTCTCGTTCACTCATCGAATCAACGAACCCCCTATTTCTTCTTCTAAAATATTCCTTCAAACCCCACCAACTACTGGCCTTTCTGCCTCTCCAACCGTACAAAATGTGAGTGAGCTTGGGGGAAAAATAATAAAATAAAGAAGGTTCGGGGAGACTGTCCATCCGATTCAGGGCTAAATATAAGATGCTTGTATATGTGTGGGGTTGTTATTGTCCCCTCCTTTTTCATTCACATTTTTTCTACAGAGAATTAAGAGTATAAGCATTCGGGTGAAGAGGAAGAATAGTTAAAAAGTCTTTTTATTTTTCTCCATTTTCGTCTGTTTATTACTTTTATTTTTGTCCTATTTAAAATTCTCATTGAAAATGGTCAATAAAAGTTGTTATTGCTAGGATAGTTTACAGCTTTAATAAAATGAATATACACGTAAATACATACATACAAACATTTAAAATATTTTAACAATTTACATACATATTTAAAGTATTTGGAATTTTTAATAAATCAAAATTTTTGTTACTTTTAAAATAAAAATTTTGTTGTTACTTTGTTAGATTAACATTTTAATTTTACTTTTTTTTTATTTTTAAGCAGAGTCCGACTCATTTCAATTTTTTCGATTCCAATCCGACTTTTTTTAAAGTAAAAATAATTTTAAATATTTATTACTATAATTTACATTTACCAACAAAAAAATATCTTATGTAAATTAATATATAAAATGTCTTTAAAATTTGCGGGAAGATTGCCAGCCGGATAGATCAATCGTTTTACCTCCTCCCCACATTTTCTATATTTATTTCTATTGATCGTTGCTCTCTCATCATTATTTGTATTTATTTTTGTAAATAATTTTTAGTATTTATTTTCTTTCAAAATTGTTAATTGCTTTTTTAAAAAATTATTATTTTAAAATTATTTTTATTGAAGTATTGGGGCTAGAGGGTGTTTTTATGATTCAATTTCTTGATTTTGATTTATTGGAATTTTCTTTAAATTTGGAATAAATAAAAATATTTTTAATTAATTAAATAAAAACAAAAATTTATTTATGTAAATATTTTTTCTCTATTTTCTCAAAACAATTTTTATTCAGAAAAAAAATTCTTTTCCCCCTCCCTTCCCTTTTTTTACACCAAAAATCGTCTGATTTTCTTTTTCCTATTTTTCTCCATCTGTCATTAACATATAAATTTAACCTTTTCTCAAACGTTGCTAATACTTTTTTCTTAAAAACATTTTCCGAATGTTTTTATTTCAATTAATTTTTTTTTAATTCTTAACAAATTTCCCCTTTACTTATTTTCCATATAGAAACAGACAAACAAAAGAAAATAATTTTAAAAATAATTTTATTTAAAAAACATTGAGGAATATTTCTTTAGATTAATTTAAAATTAATTTCCAATTTCTTTACCTAAAATTTAATTTAATTAAACAATAATTTCAAATTTAAACAATAATTTTCTTTTTGAATTCATTTTTATTTTTCTCCTCCCAATTTTCTAATTTTCACTGTTTGCATGCATTGACCACTAAAACATTTTCCTCTTTTACCCCTTAGGGTCTTTCTACATATATATTTTTTTCACCCTTACTAGTAAATTCCAATGTCGATAATTCGCTATATATACACACACAAAATGTTTGTCTATATGAGTAATGACCGGCTGGAGGGATGTATTTCTGATGCTTGCAGTTATCCTTCAAGTAACCTCGGCCGGCTTCTTTTTATTTTTTTTTATTTTTAAACTTTTAAATTCTTCAATCTTTTTTTTAAATTTTTTATATACATTTTTTGTTACATTTCAAATTAAAGTAATTGTTGTAGTAATTGGCTTTAGTTTGTGAAAGAATTTCTTTAAAATTTTTTATTCAAAAATAAATGACCATTAGGAGAATTAAATATTTTTTTGAAAAAAAATATTTTTGTTTAATTTTTCTAAATAATTTGAAAATCAAAATATTTATTTAAAAATTTTTTTATTTATTTTGTTAGCTTAAATAATAAAATTTAAGATTTAAAATACTTGTTTTTTTCTTTATTGTTGATTATTTAAACAAAGTAATTGTTATTCCACTTGACGGAATAAAAAAAGCTAATAATTTATAATCTTCCTAATTTATTGTTTATTTACTTATTTTTATCTTAAATAATTTAAAAAATATTTTTGACAGTTTAAAAAAAAATAAAAAGATTATTAACTTTTAAGTATTTTTCTTTTACTTAAAGTATTACAAACACATTTTTTAGAATATTTTTAAAGAATTTTATTTAAATTTAAGTTTTCCAATCATACCCATTCATTACCAGCTTCACACTCTCTAACTACATATATTCATTCTCATTTACTATTTTTCAATTCATTCTAAAATACATACTTTTTTACATTCAACTAAATATATCCTTTTTGTTACTTTCAAGGACAACAATTTTTATTATTTTTTATTTGTTTCTTTGCTTGTCTTTTTTTTTTAATTTTTGAAAAGATTTTTATTGAAATTTTTTGATTGGCTTATCTTTATTTTAAATTTATATATATAAATAACTACATCAACAACATCTTCTTTTTAAAAAACTATTTCCTTTTATTTTCTAAGAATGGTGGAGACCGGCACGACTCGCAAAATGCCACACTTGAATTGATGATGATGACCTTAAAAATAACATTTATATTTACATTGTTTTTTAAATTCTTTATTTAAACTTTTTTTAAATGTAATTTATTATTTAATTTTGTTTTTTTTTCAGATAATATACTAAACACAAAATTATTTTGAATATTCTAAACTATTTAATAAAATTTCCAAGCCAAAATTTCCCACTTCCTCCTTTTATTTTTAAAATATAATTATTATTTTCTTCTCGCCTTTCCCAATTATTGACCACCACCCTCTCCCCCCCTCCCAAACAATATTTAGCTATCATTCATTTTTCATTGTCACCGCTTTTTAAATTTTCCATTTTTCTTTAAATTTCCTTCCTTCCATCAATTTTGTTTCCTTACTTGCGCACTTTACTTTTTTTTCTATTTTCTCCTCAATCCCTCATTTTTACTTTTATAAAATATATTGGACAGCTAATTGTATTGTCCTTCCGCCCTTCTATGTATTTGCTTTTGCATGGTCAACGGTCCTTTTTAAGGGAGAAAGGACATGTGTTTGTTTGTGGCATTACTCTCGAGAATACTTTTAAAAATAATTTTGTTATATTTTTGTTTGGTCAATGCCATTTTAATTTAAAATTTTATTAATTTAATTTTATAATTATTTTTATTTAAATAATTATTTTTTTTCAGAAATTTATTTTAAAAAAACTTTCATTCCAAAAAACATTTTTCTCTTATATATTTATTTGATCTCTCTCCCCCTTCTCCTACCTTCACTTCATCTCAACGGGTATTTAAAAAACCAAACAACTTTTCTGATTTGTCATTCTTCAAATAATGCAACAACAAAAATATAAATTAATTATTTTCTACTAAAAAATGATTAAAATTTTAATTAATTTTTTATTTTTAATTTTTATTTTGGAATTATTTATTAATTATTTAATTTTTGGAGTAAATGCAAATAAACACAGACATCATAAAAGTATTTATAATTTAAATAATTATATTTTTATTTAAAAAATATTTAATTTTTAGTTCGCCATAGTAGAAGTCCTTCCCCCTCCTTTTCTCATTTACTTTCATCATCTACACCAACAGATTTTCAATTTACAGCTCCATTTTATAATTTAAGTATTTTTGAAAATTCTGTCGGTCAAAGGGCTAATATAGCTTTAAATCCATCAAATGCCCAAATGGTTGGGTGTTGGTTACCCAAAGGTTATAACCAAATACAATTTAGAATAACTCAAGTAATTATTGTTATCTTTTACAATAAATATTTTTAATAAAAAGGGAGATGAACAAAATCGTTTTGGTGTTAAAAGTCAAAGATTGGGTAATTTTGCATTTTTGTTGTTAGAATATAAAGATCAAATGGATGTTCTAAATAGAGAATTACAACCAGAATTTAATTTAATTATTTTAGCTACAACAAAAAGAAGAAGGGGATTAGCATTAGAATCTATAGCTAAAGTATATTTGTAGATTTTAAATAAATTAAAAAATATTTTAAGATAAATATTCGTGTATTGGATGAAAATGATAATCCTCCAATGTTTAAAGAATTAAATTATTTTTTAAATTTAAATATTTTACCTTTACCTTTAAATTCTAAAATAATTAAATTGGAAGCATTTGATGCTGATGAAGGATTAAATGGAGAACTTTTATATTCTTTAGTTAAACCTTCCAAATATTTTTATATTGGTAATTTTTAAAAATTAATTTTAAGCATTTATCGGGCTTTCTCGAGTCACAATTTTTTAAAATTAAAAATTAAATATTTTTTTAGAACAAACAACTGGTTGGTTACGTACTTTTGCCTCTCTAGATTCTCTTAAATTACCAACAAATATTACTCTGGAAGTTAAAATAGAAGATAGAGCATCTAGATTACAAAATTCAAATAAAGAATTAAATTCTTTTTCCCCTCCAAATTTATTTAATATTAGAAATAAAGCTTTTGTTGAAATAGAAATTTTGGATGGAAATGACATGTTAAAACAACCAAAGGTGAAATTGGAAAGATTTTTTTTGTTTAAATCCTCGATTCTTTCATTTGTTGATTCTCTGCCCCCCCCCCCCCCTCCCTTCCTATTTTTGTTTAAAAATTTGGATTGGCAATTTAAAAAATTTTTAAAAATATATTTTTTAAATTTCCTTTTAGCTAATTTTTCGACAAATTCACTTCCAACCAATTTTGGAGCATCCAATTCCTGTTGCTTTAATTGAATTATTTGATAAAGACTTGCAAAACAAAGAAAATATAAATATTCAATTATCTCGATTAAATACACAATTTATTTGGAATTGTGCTTGGATTGAAAGAATTAATTTAATACAATTTGCTTTAAATATTTGTCCTCAATTTCCCCGAGACCTTTTGGGATTAGAAGAGACTTTAACTGTTAGAATAAGTGTTAGCCGGTAATTAAATAATGTGTATTTGAATATAATTAATTAATTTTTAGACAAATAGATTTATTAAATAGTAAAAGTATTACTTTTGGTGATCAAGAATTTCAAATAAAGATGGACCCTTCAATTGGTAGAAAAATATCATTAAATTCTGGAAAATATATTGGAGATAATTTAATAATTAATTTAAATGAGTCAATGCCTGTTGGGAGTGTTTTGTGGCAATTTCAGGCAGAAATAAATAATTTAACAAATAATTATTTGGTTGATAAAGGGAAAATTAGGTAAGTTAAATAATTAAATATTAAAAATTATTTTTAAATAAAGATTTAAACTTTTACGTCACCAACAACAACAAAAATTCCCTTTCGATTTAGACCAATTAACTGGCCAATTAAAATTAATTTCTTCTCTTGATTATGAAAATCCTCTTCATCAAAAACAATTTAATCTTTCTATTGTCGCCCAATTAGAATTGGGAAATTCAAAAAAATCTTTAAAACTTCAATCAACGCCTTTGGAAATTAAAATTAATTTAATAGATTTTAATGATAATTGCCCCGAATTTTTAGAAATTCCTTTAAATAATTTAATTATTCTTGAAGAAAAACATTTAAAATCGTTAACTCCAAATGATAATATTATTTGGAAAGCTAAAGTATTTTTTTAATTTTTTATAGTTAATACATAATATCAAAATTGAAGGGGGGAGGTAAGGGGGATATTCTTCTTGGTAGTAATTTTCTCTTGAAAAAATTTTTTGGGAGTCTGAAGGCTTTATGAAAGAGGGTTTGGGGATTCAAAGCAAAATTGATAAATTTAAAATAATATTAAAAATAAATATTTATTTTTTAAAGGCAAGAGATCATGATGAAGGAAAAAATTCCGAAATAATTTACAAAATAATTGGTGATAATTGGCAATTATTTGATTTACATCCATTTAATGGAGAAGTATTTAAATTAAATAAAATTTTAACTTTTTTCTTTTTTTTAGCTTCGAATAATTAAAGAATGGCCTAATAATCAACAACAAATTAATATAAAAATATTAGCAATGGATAGGGGATGGCCTTTCTCCCATCAAACACAATTACCTTTAATTATCAAAAAAGATGATGGAAAAGGTAGAGAAAAGAAAATAAATTAAAAAAAATAATTTTTTAAAGAAATTTCTGTCAGTCCAGAAATTATTCAAAATACTTGCCAAATGCCTAATAAATTTGCACCTGAATTTTTAATTAAAGAAAATGAAATAATTGGGGAAATAGAAGAAAATGCTGAACAAAATACTGTTTGTGTATTGTTTAAATAAAAATAAAAATTTCTTTCCTTTTTTAAAGACAATTGGTTATATTAAAGCAAAAGATGAGGACATAGGAATTAATGGTTATATCCAATATTTTTTAATTTCTTCAACAAATAATTCAAAAATAAATTCTTTTATCGGAATTGAACCAAATAATGGAAGAATATTCCTTTTATTTTCTTTAAATGGAAAATTGGGGGGAAATGAAGGAAATAATTTTGATTTCCCCATTCAAATATTGGCAATAGATATGGCTGTAAATAAAGAAAAACAAAAGGGGACTAAAAAGGAATTTAAAATTAGAGTAAAACCTGGAAGAAGAAATGAACATTCACCTGTAAATTTTTTTGTTAAACTAAAGGGGGGGGGGGTGTTTTTAATTTATTTGATAAGAGGTTAGGAATTTTTTTATTAATTCTACATTGAGTAATAATATCCAAACTTTTATTCTTGACTCATAAAATATTATTATGATTTTTTCGGAATTTATAATTAAATAGCTTCCCTTATGAAAATTATTTTTATTTATTTAATTATCAGAAATTTAGGACCCAAAATTCGGATTTTTGTTGCAATAAATATTTAATGAGATAAACTAATGAAATTTTGGAGTCCCATCATTTGTTTTACTTGTGCCTTATTTTAATTAGATTCCAATTCTATAATCTCCAATTTGCCTTCCCGCAACCTTTCTATTTAATATTAAATTATTTTCTTTTAAAAACCCAAAAAAATCCAAATTAATTTTTAGATATTCGAGCATTATTCATATCGAATAGCAATTCGAGAAGAAAACGCCCCCGGAACAGAATTACTTCAACTAAAAGCATTTGACCCTGATTTGGGTGATAATGGAAGGATTGAATATAAATTAATTGAAAATAATGAAATAAATAAATTAATTTCTGTTAATTCTCAAAATGGTTTAATTAAAGCAATTAAATCTTTGGATAGAGAAGTTTTGGGAGATTTAATTACTTTTAATGGTACATATTTTTAAATAAATAATTTAAATAATTTTAAAAAAAGTTCTGGCTTCTGATTTTGGAATTCCTCAACGTCAAACATTAACAAATATAACTTTAATACTCGATGATATTAATGATCAACATCCACAATGTTCGAGAGAAATTGAACAATTTTATATTTTGGAAGATTCTCCGAATGGGCAATTGGTTTTTAATTTTAAAAATTAATTTCTAAAATTAAATTAAAATTTAAAAAAAGGTTGGGTGTGTTGGTGCTTTTGATAAAGATTTACAAAAAAATAGTGAAATAATTTATATTTTAATGACTGATAAAAATAAAAATAAAATTCTTCCTTTCCGTTTGGATGAAGATACTGGATGCTTATTTGTAGATTTGGAACAACAACAAACTTTAAATTTTGAAAAACAAAAAGAATATCAATTTAATATTAAAGTAATTAATTGTTTAAAAATAAATTAATTTTAATTTTTTTAAAGTTAAAAGACAAAGGAACTCCAACATTAGAATCTTTAATTAATTGTTTAGTTAAAATTAATTTAATTAAAGTTTTTGACAATTCAAGACTGGATAAACCAAAATTCTCAGAAATTGCTTTAGAAGCTAATATTGAAGAAAATTCTCCAATCGGAACAGAAATTTTACGTTTAAATGCTGAAATTGAAGAAGAAAAAGAAGGAATAATTAAAGGGAGGAAAAGAAGGCAACATAAAATAAAAAAAGAAATTAATTATAAATTGGTTGGGGGAAATGGTTTTGGATTTTTTGAAATTAATTCGAAAAATGGAAGTTTAAAAACATTAAAAGGTTATTTAGAGGAAAGAAAAAATAATTATTGTTTTTTTGGGAAATTTAGAATTAGATTTTGAAGACAAACAACAATTTTGGTTAACAATTAGAGCAGAATATTTAAATAATTTAAAACAACAACAAACACATCAACATATTTTAATTAAAATTTTAAATCAAAATGATCGTTTACCTTTATTTTCTATGCCGTTATATAAGGCAATAATTAATGAAAATTGTGAAGAAAATAAAGTTGTTTTAAAGGTAAATTGTTAATTAATTAAAAAATTTGGGGGGGGGGGGGGGGAATTCTAGTTATTAATTATTTAATAAATATTTTAACAAAGATTAAATTTCAAAAAAATATTTTTTTAATTTAAAGGTAGAAGCAACAGATGCAGATGAACAACAATCAATTAATAAATTAGAAAATTTAATTAAATATTCAATTATAAATGACAATTCTCAACAACAAAATTTTGTTATTGATGAAAATACTGGTCATATATTAACTGGAAAAAATAAATTAGATAGAGAAGTAAGTACATTTAACTGGAGTTTTTAATATTTTCTTTTAAAAAAGCTTCAATCAGAATATTTGTTAACAATTCGTGCTTGTGATTTAGGTTTATTATGTTCAACTTCAATTGTCCAAATAAATGTGGAAGACGAAAATGATAATTTTCCAATTTTTGATTTAAAATATTTATCTTCATTAACGGCCCCGGCAAATACTTTGGGATTTTTAGGAAGAGTTTATGCAATAGATAAAGATTTTGGAATTAATTCAAAAATTAAATATTGGATAGAACCAAAAAATGAAAAAATTGAAATTGATGTAAATGGACGAATTTTTGCTAAAATACCCTTAAAAGCTGGAACTTTGGTTGAATTTGTTGTTTTTGCTGAGGATGGGGGAAATCCAAAATTAAAGGGAAATGCAAGTGTTAAAATGCCTGTTTTGGGTAAATTATTAAATAAATTTTGAAATTCTTTTCCTCAATTTAAAGAAAGAGCAAGTCGTTTAAGTGCCTCCAATCGAGCCCCTTCCCTCATAAACCCAGAAAATTGGCGTGAAATTATTTTGACAGGATTTGAATCTTTGGTTTATTAATCTTTTAAATTTAAATATTTTAAATTCTTTTTAAGGGTTCTGTTATTGGAACGATAAAAGCAAAAGACGAAGATGATGACCCTCTTTGGTGGTCAATTGAAGATGAGGTGGAAATTTAAAAATAAATATTTTTTAAAAATAATTTTTTCTTCTTTTAAAAAAAGAATGGAGAAGAAGATTCTCTTGCTCAAAAATTCTTTGCTTTAAGAAATATTAAAGAAGGAGCTGAATTAATTTTAATTGAAAATATTCAAGAATTAAATAATATTCAAGAAATTATTGTTAAATTTTCTTTAAGTGATGGATTGGATACAATACACGATAAAGTATATATTTAAATATTTAAATAAATATTTATTTATTTTTAAATTTTAGTTAATAATTCGATTAGAATATTCAAAAGAAAATATAAAATTTTTTGAAGAAGAAATTAATTTACAAATATTTAATGAAATGCCTATTGGATATATTTTATATAAACCCCAATTAATTAATAACAATAAAATTTCAACAAAATATTTAATTCATTATTTTTTACATTTAATTGATGATATTAACGGTTTTGATGGTAAATTTAAATAAAATAAATTTAAATTAATTTTTATTTAAGAAGTATTTCGTGTTGATCCAATAAATGGAAATGTTATTTTGGCTAAACAATTACCTCAACGTTTAGCTTCCCCTTTTACTTTAATTATTGGAGCTAGTAAATATTAATTTTAAAAGTTTATAAAAATTTAAAAATAATTTAACAGCAATTTATTCACAACATCAAAAATATAATATTAGCGGCTTTTCTACTCTTCGAATAAATAGGGGAGAGGAAAATGAAAATTCTCCAATGGTAAATATCTAAAGAAAATTATTTTTTAATTTCGTTTTTAAAAGTTTATTGAATGTTATGGTAAGGAAGAGGGTTATTTGGAAATTTTACTTGAAGGCGATGGAAATCCTGGAGATTTAATATATACTTTTGAGGCTATTGATCCAGATAGAGGAAATTCTGGGAAAGTAATAAATAAATAATTTGAATATATTTTGATGTATTTGTTTATTTTTAGGTAAAATATTCATTAATTTATGAACAGAAAAAATATCAGAAGCTTTTTTCTTTGGATGAAATAACAGGAGAATTGAGGTTATTGAAAGGGTGGCCTAAAAAATTGGAAGAAGTAAGTTTATATTTATTTTTATAATTTTGTTTAAAATTTGTATCTCGTATATTTTTGGAGAATTCACTAACTTGAAAAAATTTTTAAAAATTAATTAAATATATATTTTTTTATTTTCAAAAAAGGTTAATTTATTAATTCGAGCTTCTGATTCTGGAAAATTTCCTCGTTCAAGTGACTGCCATTTAAATTTATTAGCACCAAAATCTTTAATTATTTCCAATCAATTTCAACCAAAATATTTAAATTATTCAATTAATAATTTTAAAAAATATTTTGGAAAAATAAATTCTTTAATTTATTCTCCAAAAATTTTAAATTATTTAAATATTGAGGAAAATGAGGAAATTAAAAATAAAAAAGAAAATAATTATTTAATTGATACTTCTAATTATTATTATAAAATAGAAAAAGAAGAATGTCAACAATTATTGTCAATACATTTTTCTAATGGAAAATTAGTATTTAATGGGTAATTTAATTATTAAAGTCTTTTGTAATTTTAAAATTATTTTTAGTGCTTATACAGACTTGAATGAATTAAATTGTTCAATATATTTAAATTCGAGAGAAAATGAAAAAAATAATATTTTAATTTATAATATTTTTGTTAATGTTTGTTTTTGTTTATTTTTTTAAATTAATCTAAATATTTTTTAAAGTTAAATTCAACATTTTTATTTCCTTTTATTTCAACAATTAATGAAACTTTTGACAATAATACTTTTAATTCTTTATTATTAAATGAAGAAATATTTACAACAACAACAACAACAACACTTTCAACTCTTTCAATAAATAATGAAGAAAAAGAAATTCAATTTTTACCTTCTTCTGAAATTTATTTTGAACAATTTTTATTAGAGAATAATTTAGAATCTTCCTCAATTTTCAGTTTTCCTCAACAAATATATAATTTAAATATTCCTGAAGGACGTCCTTTAATTAATCAAACAATTTTACTTTCACTTTGGCCTTTACAGAATAATTTATTTGGAAATAAATTGAAATTTAAATTAATTTTTAATAAATTCGAAGAAATTATTTTGGAACGTTTTTTTAAATTAGACAAAGATTTTGGGATTTTGTGGTTAATAGATGATGGAAATCCTATGCCAAAAATTTTATTTGACAGAGAAGAACAGCCACAAATATTAATGGCTATTAAAGTTTTTAATGAAGGTTTAGAAAAAAATTTGGAAAAAAAATTAAATTTTTTTTAGTTAAAAATCTGTCAGCTTTGTGTTTGGTAAAAATTAATTTAGAGGATATTAATGATAATCCGCCAATATTTACTGAACAAAAATATATAGCTAATGTTTTTGAAGATGCCCAAATAGGTGATCAAGTTCTTCAACTTAATGCAAAAGATGCTGATTCTGGAATTAATGGAATGGTTATTTATGAATTGGAAGATGAGGTATTTTAAAGAATAAATAAATTATTTTAGAAAATGTGTCCACTGATACCCAGAATAATTTTTAAAACCCAATTCCCTTAATTAATCTCAATTAATTCTAATTAATTTTCTCACTTTAAAAAGGCTTCAATCCCTTCATTTATTCAATTAAATAAATCTGACGGCCGTCTATTAATTTCTTCAGCAATTTCTCAAAAACAAAAACAACAAAAAATATTTAATTTTAATGTTTTTGCTATTGATAAAGGAATACCTTCACTTTCAAGCCTTCCAATACAAATAAATTTAAAAATTGTTGATGCCCAAATACCAATATTTTCAGCAAAAATATATCGAGTAGAAATGGCAGAAATGACTGAAAAGAAAATTTATCCTTCTCCTTTACTTCAATTAAAAGCAGAAATTCCAAACAGAAATTTATCAAAAATTGGTTACAAAATTAAAAATGCAAAAATAAGTAATGGATTATTAAATAATGAAGAAGATGGAGGGAATGAGGATTATTTAAAATTATTTAATTTGGATTTTGATTTTGGACTTTTATTTATTTTAAATTCATTACCAACTTCCAACAATTCAAAACAATTATTTATTAATTTAACTGTCGAAGCTTTTGCTGAAGCTTCTAAAAATTCAGGAATTGCTAATGTACTTGTTAGACTTCCACAAAAATTAATTCCAACAATTTCTTTTAAATATCCAATATTTAAATGGAATATTTTTGAAAATTCTTCTGGTAAATTTTTTGAAAAAAATAATTTAATTAAAAAAATTATTTTTTAGTTGGAACATTTATTGGAAAATTAGAATTATTAAATAATAATAATCCTTCTTTGCCAGTTAATTATTCTTTATTAATAAATAAAAATCAAAGAAAAATCCCTTCAATTATTTCAATTCACCCAACAAACGGCGAAGTTTATTTGGCTAATTTAATTGAAGATAAAGAAAAAATATATGAATTTAATGTTTTGGCTTTGATTAAATTGGAAAATGGAAATGTTGAAAGTTGTGAAGGATTAATTCAAATTAATGTTATTTTTGGAGGGAAAAAGGAAGGAGGAGAAGGAGAAAAAGGAAAGGTAAAAGAATCCTTGAATTTTTATTTAAAAAATATTTTAAAATTAATTTTAGTCAAAAGAAAAAGAAGAAGTCCCTTTTGTGGATATTCCTAATCAATTTAATTTAAATTCCAATCGAGAATTAAATACTCCAATACCAACATTCAAACCAGAGGAAAAGAAAGAAAATTTTGTGGAAAATAATTTTTTGTTAAATAATTTTGTGCGAAGGCCTCTTCCTCCCCCTTCTATTCAACAAAATATTTCAGTAAATTTAAAAAATATATTTTTTAAATTAAAAAGTTAATTTTAAGAAAATGTTGAAAAAAGAAGAAACAAATATTAAAAATGGACAAGTATTGAATGAAATATTATTAAATACAAATAATAATAACAATGATTGGCTACAACAATTTGTAATTAATTAATTAATTTTAAGTAAATGTTAAGCTCGCTATTCAATCTGTCACAATTCTTGTCCATGAATTTTGCGCAGCCATATCTTATAAGAATAGCTACAGTCTCGCCTAGTCTATACATATAATCGAGATTCGAATTATTAACTGAATAATTTCGCTTACCTTTAAGGTTCCAGACTTTGCTTTTTAGCTCTTTTACCCTTTCCAGCTCAACGGATACATTATGTCCCTCTAGTTTGCTTATATTTCTAAAGATAATGCCGGTGTAAAAGCCGCTCCATAAATAGCGAGCTGGACATTTTATATTTTTTAATTAAATTTTTTATTTAAAGGTTGATTCTAATCGCTTAATTCTTTTACTTCTTCCAACTTGTTTATTGTCTTTAGCTTTAATTTCTTTTTCTTTTTTTATTTGTTGTCGGTATTGTCAAAGAAAAAACAAAAATAATTTAAATAATCGAAAACAACGAAAGTCAATTAAAAATAAAAGAAATTTTGGTGGAGGAGGGACAACAACATATTCTGGTTCTTTTACTAGAGGAACTATTGAATTTCCAAGTCGGCGACAAACACCTGATCCTGCTTGCAATCCTTTAGTTCCTCGAAAAACAACTGGTAAATTTTAGAAAAATAATTATTTTTATTTAATATTTAACTAAAAAAATTAATTTTAAAGCTAGCCAAGTAATTGCCGACCAACAACCCCCACCTCCACGTCCACCTCGCTATAGACGTGATGCTCATGGAACGGCAGCTCTTCCAACTGTGGAAGTTAAACCAATGCATAGAATACAACAAAATAAAGTAGAAAACTTTTTTCTTAAAATTTTTTAATTAATTTTTTCCCTCAATTTATAGCCAACAACAATTATCGACAATATTTCATTAAAATCTAATCAAACAACTCAAAGCAACAATCAATTAAATAATTCTTCCTCTCCCTCAATACCAAAAAGAAGAACATCTGGAAGTACTGGGGGAATACAAAAAAGAAGAAAAAAAGAAAATATTTTGAATGTTCCAGAGCCTCCCCCAAGACATTCTTCGGGGGATTTGGTGGCAATTAAAGAAGTTTTTGAAATTTTAAAATAATTATTTTTAATATTTAAATTTAGAAAGAAATAAATAAAAATGCTCAACTTTTATTACATTCATTTGGACGTCCTTTAAATTCAGAAGAATTAAATAATAAAATTTTAGAAGAAGAACAACAACAAAATAATAACAATAATAATATACAAATTAAAAATAAAAAACAAAAAAATATCAATTCTGATACTTCTACAAATATTGTTGGAACATCTACTTCTTCTGATTATCTTACAATGAAACCTGTACATAGAGCTAAACCTTTTAAATTAGGAAATGAAATAGAAAAAGGTTTTTTAAAAAAAAATATTTTAAAAATTTTTATTTTTACAGAATCTCTTCCTCTTCCCCCTCCCCCACCCCCACCTCAACATAGAACAACAACTAAATTATATGATTGTCCAATTGAGACAAATATAGATTCTGATGAAAATGAAGAAATTGAAGAAAAATAAATTAAAGTTTTTAATTAAAAGTTTTAACTGCCATTCTTTCCCTCTCCACTTTCCCTTCAAAACCTCTTTGAAGGTATAATAATTGTTTCCTATTTCCATAGGCGGGTTTATTAATTTGCTTTCATTAATTTTTATTTTTCACTTTATTATTTTCACTTTTTTTGGCCATTTTAATTAAAATATTTAAATTAATTTTTTTTGAATATAAAGAATAAATAAATATTTTTTTGTTCAAGAAAAAGTATATAGTACATAGTTGACGTAAAATAAATATATTTTTATAAAAATAAAATAAAGGATATTACGCATATAAATATGTACTTAATAATACTTTAAACTATTTGTAATTAAAAGTAATTATCCCAAAAATTATTTGTTTTAATTTAAACAAAAATTTTTTCTTCTAAATCGCCCACAATTTCCTTTATCGTCAATATATTTTTTTAATATATTTATTTGTCTATTTAGTTGATATAAAAAATATATTTTAAATTATTTCCTTTTTCCGTTTTATTTGCAATTAAAATATACATATGTATGTAAGTACTATATTAAACTTTTGATGTTAATTTTAAATTGAAAAAGGGCGTGTATTTAAATAAAAGTCTGGTTAATTTAAAAAAGGTATTAAATATCAAGTATAAATTAGTATATTATCTAATTTTCCGTTTTTTTATTTTTTTAAATTTCATTTATCAACTTAAATTGTTTTATGTATATGTACATATTTCAAATAGTCTTCAAAAAGTAAAATAAGTAATTTTGGTTAATTTTTCCCAGAAGAGTCAAAATAAGCATTAATTTTAAAAGATTGAAATAGAAACCTTTTCTAAGATGATCAAACTAATCGGTAAATGTTTTTCGTTTAGTACATGTTTTCAAAAAATATATATTTTAATTAGAAATATTTTAATAATAATTTTTTTAATTTTTAAATAAAATTAAATTCCCTCAAATATTTTAAAAATAATTCACTTACTAAAATAAAACAAAATGAAATCATTATTCACGGTACATTACTCCTCTCTGGCTTTTATTAAATGTACAAACTAAAAAAGTCAAATTTAGATAAAGTGGGATTTTTCATGTCAAGTTTAAATTAAAAAATTCAAAAAAACCAAAAGAGTTTCTCATCTCCCTTTTTTTAATTTTGCCTTTTTTTAAATGTTTCATATCATTTGGCAAATAAAATGGATGTAGAAAACACAAAAATAATTCTAATAAATAAATAATGTAAATATTTAAATTAAATATTCTTTTGTTCCAAAACATAAAAATATTCATTTCCAATTAAATCATTAATTATAATAGCCAAATTGCAGATTAATAAACCTACACTATAAGTAACAATTTTTAAATATCGTCATAATTTTTTGTAAACATTTTTTATTTTTTTATTTAGAAAAAAGTATTTTCATCCAATTTTATTGCAAATATTCTATTTTCTTGGTATATGGCCATCCTGAATATGTACTTACTTATTTTTGTTAACTAGGCTAATAAATGAATAAAATCGTCATATTTTAATAGAGAAAATATATTTATTTATGACATTCTGCAATCTTTATATATATTTTTACTTAAAAATTAATATTTTAATTTTTAATAATTTTATAGAATATTTTCTATTTAATAATAATAATAATTAAAAACAAATTATAATGTCAACTAAACAACAACAAACTTCTTCAATTAATTATTCCACGCAAATTTTCCTTTATTTTCGAATAATTTTTATTTATTATTTTTTGGCAATTCAAAAATTGGATGCTTATCCAAACTTTTACAATAATGAATTGCCGCCAATGCAAAATTTGAGAAAGTTTTTGAATCAAGGAGGAGGAGAGGAAAAGAATGAAGGGGAAAATAATGGAAATTTAAATAAATTAAAGGAGGAAAATAAATTAGTAAATGACGGCAATCATCCAGTGTTTTTTGGAAGGTTAATAGAAATTAATTATAAAGATTGACAGAAATGTTAAATTAAATCTGAATAGTACTTCAAATAAGTACTTTTCTGTTATACTACACAGCCACAATTTATGAGATATTTATTTCCTAAGAATGTGCATAGGCGGCATGGTGTAATATGGATAACACATCAGTCCGATCTACTGAAGATTCTGGTTCGCTCTCAGCCGCCGATTAACCTTTTGCACTAGCTGAGGAGAAAAATAGTTATAGCCCACCTACTTTACTATATCATTTATCTTAGTTTGATAAAGACAAATAATTCCTTCTCATTCCTTCAATAGTATCTCTTATCAAAAACAATAAGGAATAATTAAATATAAATTTAATTTTAAAGAAAAGTTTCTTCCCTTGGTGATTTACAACAAACATTTACCGAAGGTTTTTTGGAAACCCCTTCTTCAGCATTTGTTCGTTCTGCTGCAAATAAATTAATTAAAAAAGATAAAGAAGAAATTGAAGAAAATAAAAAAGAGAATGGAATAATTAATACTTTAATTACAAATAATAGACAACCAAGAGCTAATAGTAATTCGAAATTGGCAAGAAAAAATTGTAAAAAAATTAAATAATTTTTTTAAAATTATTTTAATTATTTTTTAAAGGTTTCTTTTCTCCATTACAATGTTCATTTTATTACAAAAGTAATTCAAACTTTGCAAACATGCTTATGAGAGGAGATGAATAAATTAAAAAGTGTTTGGATATATAATCAAAAACAAAAATTAATTTAAAAAATATTTTAAACTAAATAATTGGATAAATTGTAAATAAAAGAATACAAAAATTTAATTTTTATTTAAAATTAATTTATTTCCTCTTCTCTCTTATATTTATTCCCTCCAAAATAATCATTTCAAGATCCTATCAAAAGATAATAGAGAAGTGCTGCACAAATAGCAAAAAGAACACAATAAACAAGCATTTCAACTGGGCTACGTTTACTTTAAAGAAATTAAAATTTATTTTAATCAAAATTTAAAAATGTTTTTAATTTCTATGAAAAAAATCCCTAACATTCAAACCCCCTAAACTACCCCAATTAAAAGAAAAATATCAACGAATAACCCAAAATTAATTCCCAAACCTCTGTTCCAATTCATCAGTCTTTTTATTTGTCACATCCCTTTTATCATAAGAATATTTCCAATGTTCCTCCTTTTAATTAATTTTTAAACTAAAATTTAAAAACAAAAAATTTAACCTCAACAACTTCCCCAATACAATAATCCTCCTTTAAATTTTATTTTAATTTTTTTAAACTTCAAAAATACCTTCATTTTCCGTGCATCAGTTGAATGTCCAATATCTTCAAAAGCCTCAGTTCTATCTTCCCCAGCTTTTTCTAACAAAACTTCACACCCCCCAGGATGTTCATCCAAAAATTTAGTTACATCATAAACCTTTTTAATTTTATTTTTAATTTAAATTTAAATTAATTTACTTTATTTCCAATAATAATCCAACAATTATTATTTGAATTATTTTGAGAAACTTCAGAACGAGTAAATTGTTTGGCAATTGTCATTTTATTTTATAAAAATAATTAAATTTAAATAAATTATTTTTTAAAAAATCATACGAGAAAAAAAAGAAAAATTAAATGAATCGATTAAACAAAAATATATTTTAGTCTGCGATGAAATAAAAGGGGGGGGGGGAGGGGAGGGGAGAAAAAATAAGGGAATTATTAGGTCGGCAATAAATGAATTAATTTATAGATAAAATTTTGTAGATTGTATTTTATAGTAAATTAATTTAATTTTTAGTTTATAGTACACATGAGGATTTTTTAAAGTAAAAATATTTTTGAAAATTTTTATGTCTCAACTTAAAATTTAAAAAATTTTCAACTTTCCATTAATTAAACAAAAAAATAATTTTTAACAAAAAATTTATTTAAAAATATATTCGTAATTAACATACATAACAACAAAAGAATAATCAATTTATTTATTTAAATAAAGAAATATTTAACATCGCGGCTGTGCCTTGAACCAAATTATTAGCCAACATTTTATCAACCACTTCACCCAAATGTCGTTTAGGGTCTTGTTTACCAACCTTTTTAATTTCAATTTGTTTCTCAGTCATTGTGTCCTCCTCTTCAATTTCCTAAAAAAATTAAAGAAAATATTTAATTTTATTTAATATTTACTTTTTTGTATAGTTTTGCCCATTTTAAAATTTGTTCAGAAGATTTTTGGGTTGTAGAGCAATTAATAGTATATTTCTCTAACATCATTGAATCCTTCCAATTTTGTTTGTTTAAATTCAATAACATCTTTATTAAAAAAACTTTTATTAATTAAATTTAAAAATTAATTTAATTTACTTGTTGCTCATTTTTTGTTGTTTTAAAAGAAATTGGAATTGAATAATATTTTTGATTTAACCCGTGGACGAGTGCCCGAATTGAATGCTTTTGTAAATGCCCAATATTACACGTAGTCTGTCGTGGTTCGAGTTTTGAGATAATTACTGGATCCGGAATTGTTCGAAAAGCATCAATAATTACCTCAAATAAATTGAAATTTTGAAAGAAAAATTAAAAGGAAACTACTCACCTTTCCCTTCACAGACTGGATTGGATCAACAACAACAGCAACTGCCCGAGCAGATAACATTTCAAAACTTTGTTGTGTATTGCAATCAACACCCGAAAGCCAACAACCAAAACCTGGGTGAGAATGATACCAACCAACAACCATTTCTGGACGGCCTGTTTGTTTTAACAAATCAATCATTTTTGCTTGGAAGACATCATCTACAGACTCGACAGAAACACCCTATAAAAATTAAAAATATTTTTTTTTGTGGATATCAACAACATACAGTTCCAGACTGTGGCATAGCAAAAACATCAATAACATCAATAGTATAGTCATCAACAAATTCACCAAGCATCAAACCCATAACCTGGAAATAGAAACTTTCTTTTTAGAAGTTAAGAAGTACCTCCATCGGCACTCCAGCCCTTCCATGTTTCAACATCTTAAGCAATGCTAAAGAGCTAATGTAAACAGTTTCTGATGTATCTACTTGGTTCGAATCAAATGGAGATGCAGAAAGATTCTCACCTTGATTACCTCCAATATTCAAAAACTGAATTCGTCGACGATTCATTTAAATTGTTTTTAAATTAAAAATCTGAAATAGTAATTTAAATATAAAATGCTAAAGAAGTAAGAACTTGATTGGGTTAAATTCTGCTTTTATACTATTAAAACTGAAAATCCTACACTTCCCGACGTGTAGGACATCAACTGGACATTTACCGATTTCGAGCACAAAATGACTGAAGTTTAAAACTTAAGGCTTCGACACATTTATTCGAGTAATTATTTACCTCTTTGAGGCTTTACTTCTCTTTTTCAATAGACTTGAGCATCTCTCGACGCCAAAAACTGGCATTGCGTTAAAAATGGGATAATGGTGAATGATTACTCTTTATTAGTGGGATAAACTAATTTAGAAGTTCTTTTTAATCTAAATTAGAAAGATAATTTGTGGAAAAGAAAATTTATGCGTTTTTCTTTCTCGTCCGGCACTAATATCATTCGAACTGGAACTATTAAATCCATGGGGTCATACCTGAAGACCTACAACATTTGAATGGGTATATCGGTGGATTTTTTCTTCACTGGAAAATAATAAAGAGAAATTTCTTGAATTTTTGAAAAAATAATTTTTTTGGGTTGGTAAGAAAAATTGATAAAAACTTCAGGAAAATTTTGATTTTTTTCAAAAATTAATAAGAATTTTTGGTAAAAAATCGTATTTTAACGAAAAATATCCCAAAATAGGTGACAAAGCATAAAAACATTAAAAATAGGCTACAGCCTATTTTAGACTAAAAAATTCCAAAATTTATATAAAATTAAAAAAAATTGAACAAGAAAAATTGAAATTTTTGAAACTCCAACAAAAACTTTTCTTTAACCACTACATCCCTGCTATGCAAAGAGAGATTTTTATAGATTTTAAATAAAAATTTATATTTTTAAGTATTAAATTCAAAAAAGGCACATGAGAAAATTTTTAAAAAATGCACAAGAGAAATTAAAATTCTTTTAAATTCTTTTAAAAATATGTTCTCTTCTTTTTAAATAAAATTTTGTATTACTTTGTTTTAATAACTTTATTCTTGTTGTCGACATACCCGTGAATGTTTACTTAAATAACTCTTTAATTTAAATGCCTTTCCACAATGTTCACAAACAAATGGCTTTTCTGCTAAAAAAAATTTAAAAAAAAATAAATTAAAAAATTATAATATTTTACGTCGATGAGTTTTTTCGTGTGCACGACAATTTGAACGGTCAGCAAAGGAACGAGAACAGCCAGGCTCTTCACATTTAAAAGGTTTTTCCCCATCTAAAAATAATTAATTTAAAATAAAATATTTATAAAATCATGGGATAAACTTTAGCCGGTGGCCGATTCGAAAACCCGACTCAGCTCTTCGAGTTTACATAAAAATCGAATAACATCAAAATATGATAAAAAATAAATCAAGTAAACAATTTCTTGGTTCTGTGACGGCTTTTGAACCGGCCACCGGCTAAAGTACAGCCAAACCATGAATTCTTTTATGTCCATTCAACAACCATGGCCTACCAAACGATTTCCCACAAACCTAAAAATAAATATTTAAAAATATTTTTAAAAATTTTGGGATTTATTGGGAATAATTTAAAAAAAAATTTCTTTTCCATTATTTCTCCCAATTTAAATTAAAAAAACATACATTACACTGTACTTTTTGTATATTATTGTTGTTGTTAATTTTATCCATTTTTCTTCTTTTTGGTGTTTCTTTTAATTCTTTACTTTCATTTTTTCTTTTATTTAATGATATCTTTTTTATAATTAAAAAAAATTAATTTAATTAAAATTCTAATTTTTACCTTTTCTTTAGCAGCTACATTTTCAACAATTTTTGATGTTGTTGTAGAAGAAATATTATTTGGATATTTGAATGAAGTTAAATTATTTGAAGAGTTATTTGTTCTCCAACTATTTTCACTATTACTAGTTCCGGGTGTTGAATTAATTGACTTTAATTTTTGAAAAAAATTAAATTAATATGTATTCCCCTCAATTTAGAATTAAATGTTTAGTGATTAATTTTAAAAATATTTTGTTTTCTTTTTCTGATAAACTTTTTTTTAATTAAAATTTACCGGAGGTGTATTTTGTTGAAATATTGAAGTTATTTGTTGTTTTTGTAATTGATTATGAATAAATTGTTTTTGAAATAAAGATGTTAAAAATGCTGTTAAAAATGGATTTGGATTTAAAGAAGATTGAGGTGGAGGAGGAGAAAAAAATGTTGAAAAATTTGGAGATAAATTATAAAAAGGTGTAGACGGAAAAAGAAATGAATTTAAATATTGTTGGTGTTGTTGTGAATTTAGTGGAGAGGATTGTTGTTGTATAGGAGAAAAATTTTGAGTATATGGCCAAACTGTAAATATAATTAAATTTTTAAATTTAAATTTTTAAATTTAAATAAAAAAAATTAGATTTTTTCATTCATTCGAAAGATTGGAAGTCCTAAATATTATAAAAAATCTGTTTATTTTTAGCCCGATCCGTTTTTACGAAAATAGCCAAGAACCTAAAAAAAGTTGCCAACTTTTTCAAAATTTTTTCCTAACGCCTTAGTCTCTGCCTCAACGCCAATAACAAGATTCCAAGAACATAAATATTTATTCTCTATTTAATTATCTATTAGATTATCCTTGCTTTATCTTATTTTAAAATACTCATGTCAGTGGAGAGGACTTTTGGAAAAATTACTTTAGAAAATTAAATAAATATTTTACTGTATAGTTAACCCCAAAAATTTTTTCAAAACAAAACATAATTTTAAAAATATTTTGGGAGGAGCCTAACAGTTTTTAAATTGTTAAAAATTAAATATTTTAAATTTATTTACAATTATATTGTGGTTGTTGTTGTGGAAAAATATTTTCACTTTGAGAATTACGTAAAAGACGATCCATACGAAAATTAGTATATTTATTTGAATTAGCAGTAGTCATTATTAATTTATTATAACATTAAAAAATTAAATAAAAAAATCTTTAAATAAAAAATAATTTTGAATTAAAAAATGGAGAGGGAATTTATTTAGAAAAAAATCAAAAGTTGTCATCATGCCAAATAAAAAACTCCGCCCCTTTTTCTTAAACCTTACAAAATAATTTCTTTCATTGAATGAATGGCGCGTGTAAATTAATATGTAGAGTACTTATTTATGTACATAAAAGGAAAAGACTTAAAATGCCGCCGCTCTATGCCTATATAAATTTTTCCCAGAAAAGGGGAGAACATCAAAATTGAGGTGTTTCTTTTTCACAGAATTAACGTTCTTTCTTACATTATTTACAAACATTTATTTTATAAATAGACAAAGGAATTCTAATACTTTTAGTTTTTATTAAATTACTATATTAATTTTACTTCAAAGATTGATCTTCTTTTAATATCTCGTAGACTACAAACAAAGATTATATTTTTTGTTTATTAATTAAATTAAATACATAAGTACATCCTTTTTTATCTCAAATATTTTTTGAATAAAATTTAATTATTTAAATGGCTTTTCCAAATTTCCAAACTTCTCTCCTCCTTTCCTAAAGATGTGCATATTTATTTTAGGATGGATATAAAAATTAGAATATTTCTCAATATCCATTAACAAACATATAAATCTAACCACTTTTTATTTAAATGTTTCTCCCTTCTGTTGAAAAATTATTTTCAGTAATGTTGTTGTGGGGTAGTGGTTATCTTCTCTTTTTTCTTCCCAGGAAAGTTTTTAGAAAATAAAAATATTAAATAATATATAAATATTTTTTTACAATTTTTTAATCCAAAATATACACTAAAAACAAACACAATAATCCATACTTGGAAAAAATTTTACAACACCCAATACAACAAGGGAAAATAAGCAGAAGGACAAAACAAAGTTTTGTTTAAAATTTTGAATTTTTAATTAAAAATTTGGGCATTTTTATTGAAGAGAAGTAAAATTGGGTAATTTCTTAACAGGAATATTTAATTTATTTTAAACTTTATTTTTAAAAAAATATAAGTAAAGCCATTTTCTTTTCAATGGCTACAGTATTTGCCAAACAAAAATAGCTTAATAAACCACTCGAGAGTTAAAACAAAGAAGAAGGCGGTGCTTCGAGAGTAGAAATAAATATATTGTATATTTAGTTGAAGTTGTTGTTGTAAATAATTCTTTTTTGTTTTGTGGTTTTCGGCATTTTTATGACACTTTTTTTTAAATAAAAAAATAAAAGTTTATATTGTTGAAGGAAAACAAAAAGGGAAACCGAACAGACACTGACAATTCTTTAATTAAATAAAAGTTTTCAAATAGATTTATAGCCTAAATATATTTGTATAATATTAAAAAATATTTTACATAAAATGAAAATATAGTGGAATAAGTATAAGTACGAGGTACTAGGCCAAGAATAAACAGGTATGAAGCAAAATTGAAATTTATGAACACTGAGCTTTAGATGGGAGAGAGAATTAGAATAATTAGGAGATAATTATTTATTGAAGATATTTTTTAGAAGGAATTCTTTTTTCTTTAAAGATTAAATTCCTAAAAGATTTATTGAAAAATAAGGAAATATTTAAAGGAAAAAAATATTTATTTTAGCTTCAAGTTAAAAAACAAACAATCTCTACTAAATTACTATAAGTCAATTTATTTTTGCCTAGACAGGTTTTCTCTTCTTTTTTAGTGCCAATCATCAAAAAAAGAAAAATGTGGTCAAAAAATAAAATAAGCCAATTAATTTTTTAAAAATAATTTTTCTGTTAATTTTTTAGAGAGAGAGAAGCTAGTTCAGAAGTCATTACAGCACTTTCTGCCGCCAAAACATATAAATGTCGGTGGGTGGGTGGCATCTGGACAGAAAAATTGGCCAAATTGTTTTTAAATTTTTTTGAATGTTTTTATTTGTTTTTATTTTTAATTATTTTGGTAAGAAAAACAAAAAATAGAAATTAAATTTTAATCAGATTTTTGAAATTTATTTAAAAGAAAAAAATAATAAAATATTTAAAGATAAGGTCATTTTAGGTTTATAATTGTCAAAAAACTTTAATTTAAAGACAAAAAAATATTTTAATCAAAAATATATAAAGTATTTCCACTAAAATAGACCCTCTCTAGGTCAGTCGAAAAATAGGTCTTGGGGCAGGAAATACAGTAAACATTCTAAATTTTAATATTTACAAGAAAATTTTTATTTTCAAAATAATACACAGTTTTTTTTAGTACAAGTAGTCATCATTAAAAGCCGCCAATGTCAACGATGTTAATTATTTTTCTTTATTTTATTTTCCAAGGCCAAAATAATACACGGCCAATTTTTATGCGCAATTGTTTAGGAAGTGAATGAAAAAGAGAGAAAAAATATTTTTATTAGAAAATTTGCCGGAATTTTAGAAAAAATAAAAGTATCAATTTACTTTTTTTGTTAATTGTTGCAATATTTTTAGGAAAAAAATTTTTTAAATTTATTTTTGGTATAAATAAATAAATTGAAAGAAAATAATTTATAAGTAATTAATTAATTAATTTTACAAAAATTATTTTTAATTTAATATTATTTAAACTAGGGTTGTTCACGACCAGTTTTAAAATCGAAAATTTGATATTTTTGCCAAAAACTAACCGTTTTTACAAAATTTAAAAAGAATCCCCAAAAATAAAATAAATTTTCCCTTTTCATTTTAATTTAAGTACCAGTGATCCTTCCGACAAAAAAAACAAAATTCCCGATACCCTGAAAGGTACATACATATTTCTGTAAAAAAACACAAATATTAATTTTTATATTTAAGAAGAATTAAATAAAAAATTAATTAAAGAATTTTGTATGGTCTATCTTTTTTAATTTTAAAATTTCGAACTTTATTTATTTTTATTAATTAAAACAAAAAACAAAATTATTTTTTAAATTTAAATAAATGCAACTGTTTAATTCAAATATTTACTCCCTAAAATGAGTCATAATAATATAAAACAAAGAAAAATAATTTTGTATATTTAATTAGTGGAACCCGTATTTTTATTTCTCACGTTTTTGTATTTAAAAAAATTAAATGAAAAAAGTTTTTGAAGGTTTTTTTTTGAAATATTTATTTAGTGTTTTTTAATTATTAATTTAAAAAAGTCTTTGTACAGAAACAATTTTGTTGGAGAAAATACAAAAACAATATTTATTTTAATTTTGCCTATTTAAAAAGTCTCAACTGGTAATTACGAATTTAAGCATTTATATGCATATTATTTAGAAAATCTTTTTTTTTAAATATCAATAAATTTACATTTTGGCAACTTGATGCTTTTTGGAAATTTAAAATTTGTCCATACTTTAAAATTTGTCCATGTATAGGCCCTTATTTTCGTACCTGTTATTAACTTTATTTTATTAATTTAAATAATTAATTTTTATTTATTCTCATTTAATAATACATATATTAAACAATAAAATAAATTTACTCATTTAATACAGGCATTTGTGAATGTACTAAAACCCGTTACAGACAATTTTTCTTTTTTTCCTTTTATACCCACAAAAAGTTTTTAATAAATAAATATTTTATTTGTTTGTATTGTTTTATTTATAAGACGCGCACTTTGTTGAGTTATTTCCATTACTATTTCCAATGCTTTTTAACTTTATGGCCAAATAGGAGAAAATTAATAAAACAAGCTATTTTGAAGAAAATTTTGATTAAAAATAAAAATTAATTTTTTATTTGTTTTTTAATTAACTTCAAAAAAATTATTTTTTTTTTAATTTTCCTTTTTTTTAAAAAAGAAAAAAAAAACCTTTTTTTGTTTGCTAGTATATATTGATATCAAAACTTGGATTACTACTTGATTGATCATTTTTTAACAATTAGTACCTATATTACCTATATTTTGTGTACCTTTTGTATTTGAAAAAAATTAAAGAATTTTTATGGAATTAAAATTATTTATTAAAATTAAATTCTTCTAAATTAGCTTCAATTTAATTTTAATTTAAATTAAAATCTACAAAATACAATTTAATATTTTAATTCTATTTTTAACTTTTTTTCCTTTTTAAATTAATTAATCTTTCTTCCTTTTTTTCCTTAAAAAACTTGTTTTTATAAATATTTGTCAATACATTCTCAAGTTTATTTTCAAATCCATTTTTGGGTTACAGTTTGACAATTAAATTTTGATAATTTAAGGTATTTATTAAATTAAATAAATCATTTAAAGAAAATATTTTTTAAGAAATTTTAAAACAAAAACAATTATTTTTTCAAAAAAATATTTTTATTTTTTAATAAATTTCCCTTCCCATATTAATATTTTTTTGGTTATTAACCACTAATAAAATTAAAAATGATGGAACGAAAAAACATTAAAATTCAAAAACACTCCTTTAAAAATATTTTTATGTCCAATATGGATATTTTTACATAAATAAATAAATATTTATTAAATAAAAATTAAATAAAAGATTTCACAAATATATGGTGAGGGAATTAAATTTTAAAAAATTATTTTTTATTTTAATTATTAACTTTCCATATATTTACCTAAATAAAAATATTTTAGTTAATTCTTTAAATAAATTCTTTATATATAATTTTTAAACAAAGCAATATACAAATATTAAAAACTCTCGTTTTTTATCTCCTAATTTTCCTCAAAAATTCCCCTCATACTCAACGAGAAAATGATCGTTGAAAGAGATATAAATAAATAATAAAATAAAATTAAAGTTACGCGCGCATTCCATTGCTTATTTCTTTTTTGCGTGAAAATGTTAAAAACGTCTTAAATTATTTATAATAAATATTTACATATTTTTTTTTGTTTAATTAAAAATAAATAGTAATTATATTTTAATAAAAGACAAAAGAATAATTTTTAATAAAAATTTAACAAAATATCAATTTAATTTAAATAGTAAATCATCCCCCCTTTTCTCATCTATATCACATTTCCCCAATACTTTTT